CTGTTGATTTTTACAGATTTTGAAAAACTGTTTAGGGGGTGGGGATAGGGGTGTGGGGTGTGCGGACACGTTAGAGCTTTCAGAAATAAGCAAATTCTCAACTAAAAATTTTTTTTTTAATTAAAGAAAAGGAATGTGTTGATGAGTCGTGGAGAGGGGGGGGGGAGGGGTATAGATATAAATCAGAAACTCTCATCATGCTTTTAATATGACAACTGGTATATAAGTAAAAAAAACGTAAAACAAAATAGAATGTTTAGTGTGTTGTAAAACATTGGCAGTGGCTCTGATTAAATGTGGGAGTCCATCCACAACGTCACGTTAATTTAGATAATTTTAAAACACTTCAACCTTAGCGTCACACTTTGTCACAAAACACCACAACTCCCCTACTAATTAAACTTTTCAAAGTTCAAGCCCCCCCCACCCAAAAAAAAAAACAAAAAAAAAAAACCCAGCAAAAAACATCCCAATTCGTACGTTAATTTCAACAAATACAAATTTTGATTATATACTTTAACTCAATTAGTACATCATCATTTTTACGGCCCATTCCCTTCAACTTATTTCTAATTTTTAAATCCATGTTTTTAAGTTGGTGTATTATCAATGCCCCCCCCCCCCCCCCATCCCTTTTAAATCAGTGATTTAATATTTCTAAGAGTTGCAATATCTCAATCCGCTAATGATAAAAAAAAAATGACTGATTCCATATTATCATTTATTAACGAGGACAACTGGACCATCCAGGCCGGACCCATTAATTAGTAATCATTGTTTTCTCGGCATTATTAAATCCCAGCCTGGCTCCAGCCAAATATGGGATGTGATGGTAACGACTCGGGAGTGGCGGGGAGGGGGGTGGGTCAACCGGCGTGTGGACACAGTGGTTGTATGACCCACGGGAAAAAAAATGGTCCACGGATAGGCAGAGAACTAGAGAATACATGTTGATTATACTGCGAGTATTTGTTTGGTTCTTTGTGTTCATTATCCGGAATTTTTTTTTTTCGTTTTTGGGCCGAGGCAATTTTTTTAATGGTTGATATCAGTGGATTGGAAAATTTTTTAAGGTGAAGATTTTGTATGAGTGTGTGTGGGGGGTGGGTGGGTGGGGGTGGGGTGGAGGATTTGTGTGTGTGTGGGTAGGAAGGTCTGAGTAGGGTCTTGGAGTGGAGGGTTTGTATGTGGGAGTAATAGGAGGGTTTGTGTGTGTGGGGGAGGTGCGTTTGTGTGTGTGGGGTGGATGTTATGTGTGTGGGGGTAGGGTTAATTTGTAAAGGGATGGATGATTTTATTTGTATGTGTGGGGGTAAGGAATGTCTGTATGGGATTGGAGGGTTTGTGTGTGTGGGGATGGGGAAGAATGGTTTGGATTTGTGTGGGTAGAGCATCAGTTAAATCAATGGTTGAATTTATTTCTCACATATACATCAAAGAATCAACAAAATGTGATCACATTTCCTAACGATTAGACTGTATTTTCAAAGTCACGGGGCGCAATGTACATAAGAATAAGACCAGCATCAGGAACACTCATAATTACTGTCAGTGACACTTGACCAAAGAGTATTGTGTGAATACCCAGTTTTTGAAGGTTGTTCTGGTTTTGTGTCCAGGGAGAACGCCACCTGCCCCCCCCCCCCCCCCCCCCCCCCCCGAGATGTGGTTGTTTGTAGCCTGCTGGCCATACTCGTTATTGATGACGTTTATGTAACCGACTGCGGCAGTAACGGAGTTTATCATTGGTCAATATTTGAGTACACGGATCAAAGCTCGTGGGCCGCGGGCGTCACGGGTGACGTCACAACAGCACTTCACACTTTTGGTAATTAAATAAATTCACGGTGTGCCCGCAATCAAGAATTAATTATAATGGTGCACAACAATTTATTAAACGAGTTTAATTTAGATCTGCCAGTTTTTATGACGTGTGGGGAGGGTGGGTTAAAATGAAGTGGTTTTTACATTGTTAGTATTAATCCTTGTTTTTTTTTTTTACATTGTTAGTCTTAAGCTATGTGGTGTGTGATGTAGTATGAAAGTGGTAATAGGGCTGGTAAATAGGTCACCAACCAGTTCTATGGCTCATGCAGGTTTTATTGAGCCGTAGAACTTGTTGGTGACCTACTTACCAGCCCTATTGGAAAGTCAATTGTGAATGGGATGTCAGTGATTTGGTCACGTGTGTGTATGATGGTCCCTTAGGGCTCAGTTGTGATATGTCCTGAATAATTTTATCCTTTCAGATTTTCCTATTTTTGAATTTGTCCTTTGGGAATTTGTGTTTTTTTAAATTTGTCCTTGTGGATTTGTCCGTTGTGAATTTGTGTTTTGTGAATTAGTCCGTTGTGAATTAGTCCGTTGTGAATTAGTCCTTTGTGAATTAGTCCGTTGTGAACTACTCCGTTGTGAATTAGTCCTTTGTGAATTAGTCCGTTGTGAATTAGTCCGTTGTGAATTAGTTCGTTGTGAATTAGTCCCGTAAAATTGTCCTCCGTTATGATTTTATTTTGTGTGATTTAGTCCTTTCTTACTTGACTTGAATGTTTATCTTTGGACCGTTGAAATTTGGTCCTTTTGTCTTGCTTTTCATTGATTGGAACTGTTTTAATCAGAGGTATTTACATTTTAATTTTTGTGTGTGATGCTATAAATAGAACCACAAATAGTGTATTGACAATACACAGGGAATAAAAAAGTAGATCTTCATTGTAGATTGAATTGGCTACGATAAAAACTAGGTCAGTGGGGAATGGTGTAAATACAATTAATAGTAGGTCAGTGGGACTCTATATGGATACGTTAGAAAGTAGGTTCTTATGCTTGATATGGCTTTTGTAAAAAAAAAATTGTGGTTAAGCTACAACTAGGTCAGTCCTATTTATGGCGATTGTATGTAGGTAATTTTTGTTTAAAGTTACTTATAGACTATTTAGATATTTTTGTTTTGCTTTATTGTGCCAATGATGTGTTGGTATTGTAACTAATCGAACGGACATCAATATGATGTAATTGTAATGACGGGGAACCGAAACGACATGACGTTGATACATGAACTCACTGTGACATCATGATTTTATGATAATACCTGATATTGTGGTGACATCTGATTTTCCAGTCACATCTGATTTTCTGATGACATCTGACATTGTAATGACATATGAAATTTTGATGATATCTGATATTATATGACATCTAAATTGTGATGACATCTGATATTGGGATGGCATGATATTGGGATGAGATCATATTTTGATGACATCTGATAATGTGAAAATATCTAATACGTTTGACATCAAATATTATGTTCAGAGGCGTAGCGACACTGGGGACAAACTTTTCGATTTGCACCCCCCCTCAAGCTTTCAATTTATTTTTCCAACTCATTTTGGCGCACCCTAAGGTCGGCGCCCGGGGACATATGTCCCTCCCCCCCCCCCTCGCTACGCTACTGATTATGTTGACACATTACGTAACGGAGTAAATCAACCTGACATTCTGATGACATCATGCTGTTCATACACCAAGATGACACTACGATGACATTTACAAATTCCTGAACCTGCATCATATTTTAACCCTCTAAACGACCCCTCCATCAAGAAAATCACAACGCTTAAACCCTCAATCCCTAAAAAAAAATATCCCTATATACCACTATGACTGTTGTCGTTTACTCCCGTCACTTAGTCTACACCGAGTGCAAAAAAGCCTCTCAACTAATTACCATATTTACACGTCTGTTCATTATCGGTATCAGAATCTCGTTTTCCCACACATTCGCACTAGACCAAGGCAGTCAAAGTGACCTTTGACCTATAAATATTTCACCCGTTCGCCATGTAATAAAAAAATATTCCTCTAGGCGCTCTGCTGTCTGTTCAACAAAAATTGCTCACTTAATTAAGGAACTATTTTTTGTCGCGCAATCACCCGGCGGTCGAGCGTCCCGTAGCTGGGACAGGTATAAAGGTTGACGGCACTATTTAATTCTGTGTACTCGCTGTGGAGATAATTAGTCGGCTTAATAGCCCAGCCGTGAGAGGTACATTAAATTAATTAATCTAATGAAAAAAAATATAGCCACAGCGTCTTAAAAAATAAAATAAAAAGTAAATATTCATCTTTATACTTAGCTATCCATTGGCAGATGAAGTAGAGTTTATTTTTCTTGACCACGGGATATGAAGGGATAGTGTGGTCAGCACTATGCCCAGCCACCTTTACTTTCCCCAACGTAAGTCAGGTACCCATCAGAGCTGGGTCGGCTCAGGGACTTCCTATAGTTACAAGTCTGAACCGAGATTCGATCTCGCGACCCCCACTGGAAAGTATCGAATTAGCTGGATTAAAAATTACAAAAACACAATTTTAAAATAAAAGTAATCTTAATACCAATAACGCTAACATAATTAAGGCTTTTTAAAGCACTAATATGAAGCAATGTAATAATAATAATAATAATAATAAAAATAATTATTTTCTTGCTTTGATGTACATCTACACTTTCATAAAATGAAGTGCCTATTAAAAGTTAATTGCTTGCATCTATACATTTCAATTGTCTAACAATGACATACCCATTACGACAGAGGCGTCGCAAGGCGGGGGCAGGGGGTGCACACCGCACCGGGTGACATCATTTTGGGGGGGGGGGGTGACACCAATACAAAAAGAATGTTAAAAAGTATATTAAGTACATAATGACGATCCTGACAAGGGAGGGGAGGGTGGTGACACCATCACGTAAAGATGAAAAATATAGAGAAAAAAAATGCTATATCCAGCTACATTAACAACCGACTATAGATAAACATCATTAGTATTAAATGTATTAAATGTGAACACTTCAAAGATTTTACGGGGGAGGGGGGGGGGGGATGGACAAAAAAATAGAGGGGGGGGGGTGATATCATGAGATGCCGCACCGGGTGACACCCGACCTAGCGACGCCACTGCATTTCGAGTTACCTGAACCCTTCTGTCTCCACCCCCAGGTATCATCGAGTCCCCCCTGAACCCCTTACCAAACGACACCCGCCACATCATGAACAAGATCGGCGACGACAACATCTCCTTCACGAGCGTCGACCTCGAGCAATTGGATCCTGATGACGTCACCAGCGTCAAAAAAGGTAGGTCAAAGTCACGTGTACGACCTCAATATTTAGTGAAGGTAGGTAAAAGTCAAAATTATATAATTCCGGAAACGGTAGGTCAAACACGTATAAGATTTTAGCATTCAGCAGAAATAGGCCAAGGTCATAAGCTAGACCAAAACGTTTTGAAGTTACATGAAGGTCGTGTATTGAACTTAAACATTCAGGAATGGTAAAAAAAATCAGTAAGTCGCTGGACAAAAATGAAGCTGCTCCGTATCGACATGTAGATGATGTAATGCAGGCTTAAGCTCCTAAATTTACCAATGTACAGGTACTGTCAGCAACTTCCAGAGTTTACAGCCTAACCCGAACTTTCTGAACCTCATTCAACCCCCCTTCCTCAACAGCAACGCAATTAGCAGCACCCGTGTCCAAACTTTGAACAGCACTAAACAAACTTTCAACAACACTAAAGCTAAACTTTCAACAACACTAAACAAACGTTCAACAACACCAAAGCTAAACTTTCAACAACACTAAACAAACTTTCAACAACACTAAAGCTAAACTTTCAACAACACTAAACAAACTTTCAACATCACTAAAGCTAAACTTGCAACAACACTAAACAAACTTTTAACAATACTAAACAAACTTTCAACAACACTAAACAAACTTCCAACAACACTACAGCTAAACTTTCAACAACACTAAACAAACTTTCAACAACACTAAAGCTAAACTTTAAATAACAGTAAAACTTTCTGAACCTCATTCAACCCCCCCCCCCCCTCTCCTTAGTAGCAAGACAAGGCAGCACCCTTGTCCAACCTTAACACATAATCTAAACATCTAACATATTAAACCTACATTTTTAACAACACTAAGTGTAATCATTCAACAACACTAAACTAAACTTTCACCAACACTAAATTAAGCTTTTAACACACTAAACTAAACTTTCACCAACATAAAACATAAACTTTAATCAACATTAATCTTTAACTTTGGACAACATTTAACTTCAACTTTCAGCTTAAACGATAAACCGGAATTTTACCACTGAATGTAAACTTCCAACAACACTTAAGTTAATCTTCATCACCACTAAATCTAAAGATTAATCACCATTAATCTAAATTTCCAACAAAACATAGCCTAAACCTCTTGCAGCTCCCCACGTAACCCACTTAAACCAAACTTAAACTAATTCCTTCTACCAAACTTTAAGTAACCCGCTTCACACTTTCAGACATGAAATCTATAATTGTTTACCCTCACACTACTTCCCCCAATGTTTTCTCCAACTTTTTGTACTCACATCCTAAGTGTGTGCGTGCATCACGTGATTAGCCCCGCCTTCACACAACATCTGACGTCACTTCCCTCTTTAATGCTTGTCATTTTCAAGCTCTCGACAGAGCCCATACATTTAAGATAGTTGCGTGCCGCCAGGTTTTGTCTTCTGAAAAAAAAACCATCACTCCTGACCCCCTCCCCCTTCTCTAAATACCACTGTACAACTCTCCCTATCTAAATACCACTGCACAAATTCTCTCTATCTCTCTACAAATACCACTGTAAAAACTCGTGCAACCTCTCCTTCTCTAAATACCACTGTACCCCCCTTCTAAATACCACTGTACCCCCTTCTGACTACAACTGTACTCCCCCTTCTAAATACCACTGTACCCCCCTCAAAGATTTTGTTTCTAAATACCACTGTACCAGTGAATGCGGTTTTTGTTAGGTACGTGTTATGTCTGGGTCACCCTGACCTGCAGGAAACCAACAAGAACTCAATTAACCGGTGACGGGCCGGGAGTGAGCCTAGGTAATAGTTCCGCAGCGGAACAATTCCGTGGCGGATCACCGGAGGATCTCAGCTTGATCTTTGTAGATCCGCCTCCTGCTTGCCCTCCCGGCGGAAATATTTTTTTGGTCGCAAGGACTTAATCCTCTTATCACGTGACTTTAAGAGTGGCACTCGAGTCTTGTTTGAGGCAGTAGAGGTCACAGGTCACAACAGTCAAGGTCACTGTGTCACAATACACAGGTCAATGAGTCAGAGCACAAAGGTCACTGAGTCACAATACAAAGGTCACAGGTCACAATGCTCAAGGTCACATATCACAACATTCAAGGTCACATGTCACAACAAACACTCACAGGTCACTGTGTCACAACACCATAACAAGAGGTCACTGGTCACAACACTCGCAAGGGGTCGGCGTGGTCGAGTCGGTAAAGCTCATGGCTGCTAAACTGAAAAGTCTCGAGTTCGAACCCTCGGGCAGATGAGGCTCGTTAGCTTGGGGCCACCCACTCTTCTAGGAGAGACAACCACAAAATCAAACAACTGCTGCTTTGTAGTTTGTTCTTGGTTGAAAAAAGTCTATGGAAGCAAATCCAAAAAGGAAAGCAGGCTCAAAGTTCAGTAAATCTCATAAAATCTACTTCGTCTTTTAGGCTATTAACATTTTTCTTTTACACTCGCTACAAATGTCAATGATTATAATTTAAGCTGAATTCGATTTTGCAAAAGCCATTGTCTATATTCTATAACAGAACGCTTGTTGTTATCTATTTACCTTTTCTCATAAACCATGTCCGACTACAGCAGGTGACTTTTAATCTTCCCAATTCTTTCAACAGCCCTGAAATCACTCCGGACCATCAAACCAGCGGCCCTCATTGGCCCATACAGTTGGCCCTACGCCGTCGCCTCTGAGCATGCGCGAGTGCCCTACTTCCTGACCTCCATGATGCCTGCGTCGCAGAACGTCTCATCCTTTCACATCCAACTTTTCCCGAACTCGACCGTCTTCGCTCAAGCGACCGAGGACATGACGAGGTTCTACAACTTCCACAGTGTGGCTGTTTTCTACGACTCGCCTACAGGTTCGTTGCTAGGGGGGGGGGGTGTACTAGGTTGGTGGGGGTGGGTGGTGTCGGCACCCAGAAACGTTGGAAATACTTCTCTAATTAGCTTAATGAAACCGTATTACGTCTTGCCTAGATGGTAAACCGAGAAGGTCAACGAAAAAAATTGTTGGAGAATTGGAGACGGACTTTCATTACTGCCTGGAGAGTTGTCTAGCGAACACCAGGACTTCAAATTATTTCTAATGCTGTAAGCTTGTTAGCTGTAGACGGCTACAAATACTTTTAGGCTAGAGTACAGCCAATGGCATTTGGAAGTAATGCTGTTCTCTGCAAGGCTCAGACAGCTCTCTTCAATAATGCACCTTTAGGACAATTAATTACCAACCATTGAGGCGGAGGGGCGGGTGGGTAAACCTAACCACACAGTTCTGCAGTTGTATGCTTAACTTTAACTCAGCATATAGCGACTTAAACTGTGACTACCAATTACACATTTAACCCTTTAAATAACAACTTTAATTATTCATTCACAAACGTTACAATTTTTCATTAGGAATTCGTCGTGTTATAAATACGTTTATATCCCCTGTTATATCTTTAACCGTTCATCTACACATCTTAATCTACACATGTGACCCCCTCGCTAATCTGAAACCATTAACCCTGACATGTAGCAGCTTTAACTCCTTCAAACTCCTTTTGTAATAGCGTGTATCCTTTGAATTTCCAAGATCACGTTAACAATTTTTACCCGCTTCCATCTTATAAATGTATCCCGTCAACCCCAGTGCATCACCTACCTTAACTCTTCAACCGCAGGGCATTGCCACCAACGTTAACCCCTTAACTCCCACACATCACCAACTTCAACTCTTAACCATCATCAGCTTAACCCTCAACCTCCGTACCTCTCCACCAACGTTAACCCCTTAACCTCCATACCTCTACACCAACGTTAACCCCTTAACCTCCGTACCTCTCCACCAATGTTAACCCCTTAACCTCCCTACCTCTCCACCAACGTTAACCCCTTAATCTCCGTACCACTCCACCAACGTTAACCCCTTAACCTCCGTACCTCTCCACCAACGTTAACCCCTTAACCTCCATACCTCTCCACTAACGTTAACCCCTTAACCTCCATACCTCTCCACTAACGTTAACCCCTTAACCTCCATACCTCTCCACTAACGTTAACCCCTTACCCTCCGTACATTTCCATCATCGTTAACCCCTTAACCCCCGTACCTCTCCACTAACGTTAACCCTTTACCCTCCGTACCTCTCCACCAACGTTAACCCCTTAACCTCCATACCTCTCCACCAACGTTAACACCTTAACCTCCGTACCTATCCACTAACGTTAACCCCTTACCCTCCGTACATCTCCACCAACGTTAACCCCTTAACCTCCATACATATCCACCAACGTTAACCCCTTAACCTCCATACATATCCACCAACGTTAACCCCTTACCCTCCGTACCTCTCCACCCACGTTAACCCCTTAACTCCCACACATCACCAGCCTTAACCCCTTAACCTCCGTACCTCTCCACCAGTCTTAAACCCTTAACCTCCGTACATCTCTACCAACCAGGCACATCTATCTTGGAACGTCTGGCTCAAAAATCCTGGCTACTTGTCACTGGTGTCCACGTGACCAACACAACTTTACCCACACTTAGAGAACAGCTGAAAACTTTACGTGGCAAATTTTTCACCGTCTTCACGGCGGTCCTCAATCCTGACCACATGAGGTACCTTCTTGACCAGGTAATTTCCCGCCGATTGACATGTATTAATTGTTTCCTCTAACTGACATTGTATCAAGGTTTTTTAAACAATTCTAATCTATTTAAAAATGTTGTATTAAAAAATATTAGAAAGCCTCTGTTACAACTTGGTGTGTTATGTGTATCTCGTCTTGTCTTTGTTACTGTTGGTTAAAATTAATTGCTGGCTAAAATTAATTACTTGTTTTTTTGTAGGTACTTTCACTAAGTATGTTTTCCCCACCCAACAAATGGCTCCTGGTCAATGAAGTAAGTTTTTCTATTTAACTATTTATAACTTGTCAAACTGTCTAAACAACGTAATAAGCTGTATGTGGTGGCGTCACTCGGGTGGGGTGTAGGGGTACATCCGCCCCAGGAATTTGCTTTATTTAAAATATATGATATAACAATAAAATTGAAAACTGGCCGCTCTAATTATACGTATATTATATTTTTGGCAAAATCGATTTTCGTTTCTCGAGAAGGAGTTGGCGAAATGTGCAATTTCGTTGTGGGTAGATTCTTAAACTTTGATTTTATTGTTACAAACTTTTAATAAAAAAAAACAAAATCTGATCGCTCAATCTGTTGAAGTTTTGAAATTGCCACCCACCTCTACAAAGAGCCTTAACCCCCCCCCCCCCCACACCCAGGACCTAAAGTTTTTAAGTGTTTCAAGTAATTAGCCACCCACCTCTACAAACAGCCTTAACCTTCCCCCCCCTCCCCAGGGCCTAAAGTTTTAAAGTGTTTCAAGTAATTAGCCACCCACCTCTACAAACAGCCTTAACCTTCCCCCCCCCCAGGGCCTAAAGTTTTAAAGTGTTTCAAGTAATTAGCCACCCACCTCTACAAACAACCTTAACCTCCCCCTCCCCCCCCCCAGGGCCTGCAGGAGTACAGCCTGGAGAAGTACGTCGACTCCCACGCCAACATGACGGTGCTGCGTCTGATGATGGACTACAACTCCAACTTCTGCAGCCTTGAGTCCGACTACATCAACCTGAGACGGGCCGTGTTCCACGACGCCGTCCGGCTCTACGAGAGGATGTACTCGAACCGGACCCGGACCAACGGCACGGAGAAGTTCAACATGAGGCAGACGGTGCGAAATGTGAGTGGGATATCATTGCATTGACTCTCTGTATGTCTTTCTTCAGCCGTCCACAGAGGCGTAGCGATGGTTGGGCAGGGGGGGACGACATATGTCCCCGGGCGCCGACCTTAAGGGGCGCCAAAATGTATTGGAAAAAAGTAATCAAAAATTTGAGGGGGGTGCAAATAGAAAGTTTAAGGGGGGGGGGGGGTGCAAATCAAAAGTTTGAGGGGGGGGTTCAAATTGAAAGTTGATCCCCGGGCGTCGGGAATGGTTGCTACGCCTTTGGCCGTCCATTATCTTTGTGGGGCGGAATGTTATGTTTCTTTTTTTTTTAATTGGGCTGTCTTTTGTCTTTATTGGGGGGAACGTGAGCTTATTTTGATGTTTATTGTCTTTGTTAGACAGTGCATTGTCTTTGTTGAGCCATCAGCAGTCTTTGCTGGCTTGTCTGTTCTCTTTTCATGGCTGTCTCTTCTCTGTTTAGCAGTTTGTTGTCTTTGTTTCTTTCTTGTAGTCTTTGATCAGCTGTAACTTTTTGGATTGACAGCAACTACCTTATAAAAAATGTCTCTTGTCTTTAATTGACTGTTTATGGCACTAAATTACTGTCTTTGTTTTTTAAAAGGTAAAAGTAATTTCGTGTGGTCATTACTGGTTTAAATTAGTTGCTCTAACAATTCAAATGAACATAATAGTGAGATTAGTGATTAAAGGGTTAAAGTTGTATTATGAAGCTTCAGCTTGTAAACGACAGTTAAAGGGTTATATCTGAACATAGCAAGTTTAATCTGAAGACAGCGGTTTTGATGTTTTCTTTGTATCGCTAAAGCTGCCGCTTGAGATGGACGGCTAAAACCTACGTGTATGTTGTGTTTAGTTTGAGATGGACGGCTAAAACCTACGTGAATGTTGTGTTTAGCTTGAGATGGACGGCTAAAACCTACGTGTATGTTGTGTTTAGCTTGAAATGGACGGCTAAAACCTACGTGTATGTTGTGTTTGAAATGGACGGCTAAAACCTACGTGTATGTTGTGTTTAGCTTGAGATGGACGGCTAAAACCTACGTGTATGTTGTGTTTAAAATGGACGGCTAAAACCTACGTGTATGTTGTGTTTAGCTTGAAATGGACGGCTAAAACTAACGTGTATGTTGTGTTTAGCTTGAAATGGACGGCTAAAACTAACGTGTATGTTGTGTTTAGCTTGAAATGGACGGCTAAAACTAACGTGTATGTTGTGTTTAGCTTGAAATGGACGGCTAAAACTAACGTGTATGTTGTGTTTAGCTTGAAATGGACGGCTAAAACTAACGTGTATGTTGTGTTTAGCTTGAGATGGACGGCTAAAACCTACGTGTATGTTGTGTTTAGCTTGAAATGGACGGCTAAAACCTACGTGTATGTTGTGTTTGAGATGGACGGCTAAAACCTACGTGTATGTTGTGTTTGAAACGGACGGCTAAAACCTACGTGTATGTTGTGTTTGAAATGGACGGCTAAAACCTACGTGTATGTTGTGTTTAGCTTGAGATGGACGGCTAAAACCTACGTGTATGTTGTGTTTGAAATGGACAGCTAAAACCTACGTGTATGTTGTGTTTAGCTTGAGATGGACGGCTAAAACCTACGTGTATGTTGTGTTTAGCTTGAGACGGACGGCTAAAACCTACGTGTATGTTGTGTTTGAGATGGACGGCTAAAACCTACGTGTATGTTGTGTTTAGCTTGAGTTGGACGGCTGCACGGGTCATCTGATTTTCTCCCGAAACGGTCAGAGGACGGAGAGTTTCCTCCAGATGATGACATTGGACGGTTACAAGTCTGGTTTGGTGAGTTGAATTTTAAATTTGTTTTTTTACTCACCTTCTTCTAGTACACACACACACCTGGCATACTAACCACACAGGTTTTCGTACACACATTACGTACGTAGGTACACATTTTAATTGTACACCTTACACCTCTTGCACATGATAAACTCCCTAACACTCGGACAATGGGTTTTAGCAGTCGACACTCCAGCACAAAATAAATTGTGAGTTTTAATACAAGTTTGACGGACTGAACAATTCAAGAGAATTGAAGAAAAACTTTAACAAAGCCCCTCTCAAAAGCCTCACTTTAAAGCCCCTCTCAAAAGCCTCACTTTAAAGCCCCTCTCAAAAGCCTCACTTTAAAGCTCGTCTCAAAAGCCCAAACGTAAAGGCCTTATCAGTTGCCCCACTGTAAAACCCTTCTCAAAAGGCTCACGTTTAAGCTGTTCCCGAAAGACTTTATCAAAAGCTGCAAATTAAAACGTAATTTCAAAGGCTTTATGTATTAGTTTTTGTTGGGGTTAAAATTAGAAGTTTTAAAAAAAACTTTCATAAACATAATATGTAGGGAATTAAAAATGTTTTATGTGTATGTTAGTGTCGTTGTTAAACCTGACAACTTCGTTTTCATCTGCGTCGGTGTATGTGTGTGTCGTGTATGTGTTGTGGTGTATGTGTGTGTGTTCGTGTGTCAGTTTACCACACACTTCTGCTTTAGGTGGAATATGTTTTTCAATAAACTTTTTTCTTTGTTATTGTTGCATGGAGTGATTGTCCTTGTTTTGTTTTTTGAAAAAGCCAATCTTTTTTCTTACAAGCAAACGGTCATAATTAGAAACAGAATTGCCCATTACAAAATTAACTATTTTTCTCCCTAATAACACATTAATATTAATGATTCAAATATCTTCAATGAAGATATTCCATTTAGTTAATGAGTGGCATTGAAAACGTATTTTAAGTATAACTACATTTTCAATTAAGACGTACGGTCATTTTTAATTGATCTATTTGTCTTTTTTCTTTCAATAGACCCATTTTCAGTCAGTATATTCTGTCTTAACTGTCTGACAACATTTATAGTTTTACAATTAAGATTTTTCCTTAATAGAAATTAAAAGTAAATTTTCTCAACCGAAATTGAATTCAAGGAATTTTCAATATATGCATACAATTTTCGTGAAAATATCTTAAACTGTACCCCCCTCTCATCACGAAGCCCTCAAACATCGAGGATCTGTTGAGACTTTGTTAGGTGTACAGTTGTCTTAGTCTTTTTGATTTGTACCCCCAACCCGTCAAACTAAACATAAAATTTCCTTCTTCGTGTTTGGTCCACTTTTGCATTGTTTTTAATGTTTTGTGATTAACTTCGGAGTAGACAAAAATAACAATTAAAAAAAGTATTATTATTATTATTATGCTCCCTGGGGGGGGGGGGGGTGTGCATCATCGAAATATATCACCCCGTGGCTTAAAACTATGTTTGTCGACCTTAATCAGTTATCAAATGAATAATCCAACAAAAGCAATGATGCAACGAACTTAACCTAAATTGATGAGGGCTTATACAGATATTAATATTACAATAAAACGTAACATTGTAAAATGATTTTAAAATAATTTTAAAACTCCTATCCATAACTATTTCAATAAGCTACAAAATCTATTTTACCGAAATGGAAACAGACCTAAATAAGCTGTAACGAATACAACAATTATTAACACACACATTTGTTCACTAATTGAGGTAACTCTCATTGCAGCCCTTTCTAACGTCATAATATTATTTTAATTCCGGGATTTCTTTCATTGAGCTCGCTATTCAAATGTCTAAAGTACTCTTTTGTTTTAAAACGTAAAAATATGCTTCCAATCATGCACAATCTGTAGAAGATCCGAGAATACCAAATAACAAAAAAGAACACAGCAAGCGCGATTACAAAAAAAAAAATATTGAGTTTTCTCTAATCTCAAACACATGAAAGAAACGGTTTTAGACTAGCTAAGCGCAGTCAATATTTTGTTTCAACTTTTAAGTTTTTTGTTAGTCGCTAATTATCTGTGGGAACCATGTTTCTCGTGGATCATTGTTGATATGAAAGAAACTTGTTTATTTGTCCAGAGTTTTTAGTCTACCCAAAGCTTCAAGAAACGAAAGAAGAATAAAATTAAAGCGAACATTTCTAGGAATTCAAATATTTGTAAACACAACTTCCTACTGAAATAAAAAATTAAATGTTTTGTTCCATTAATAACTATAACAATATTTCACACCTTATAAAATCTAGTTAAAACATTATAAAAACACTTTAATGCGCATAGTCGGTAATTCTCTTAATTGAAACAAGTGAAAAATCGTAAAATTAAATTCTTTTTAACGCTAGTTTATTTATCTTTAACTTTTTGATTTATGCTTTCTAAAGTGTTCGTTTATGTTTTTAAAATATGGTTATTTATTTGTTTTGAAATTATTATTCTTTTTTAAAATAAAATAATATTTTAAAAAGCTACGAAATGTTTATTTTATTATTCCCAATATTTTAAAATTTGAAGTTAGGTAATTTGTTTGTTTTCATTATTAACTAACAGTATTTGCTTTGCATCATATTTTTTTTTTCCAATTTAATTCTGGTAGTTTTTGTAGGCTAAACGCTTTAGGTTTGGTTATAGAGGAATCTCTTTTGTTTGGTACATTAATTCCACTGTTTGCCAAAATGTAAACCAACCATCAGATGGTAGCAAGCCCGGAAGAATTTAGCAGGACCGAAAGTTGGGAAATCGAAGACCACGTGCACGATTACGTGACGTCACAGTGGTGTGAGCACCCGGTTCGTAATCTTTTGTTTCGTTTCGTTTATTTAGTTGATTCAGTATTTTTAAGACTTGAAGATTTCATAAAAGGGAAGCTAAAATTAAATTTAAGAAAAAAAAAGATTTGAGAAGAAACCCGAAAATTGAAAGTTAAACATGGAGTGAAAACAACTCAAGAATATGCATTCAGTTTATAAGTAGTTATATATTTATGTTGTACTTTGTATAATCTTTATGTTTAGTATATAATCGCACGCTATACACGTTGTAAAAATCCCCGAATGACCTTTATATAATCGCCTGCTTGAGTAATCATTTTTATTTAATGCTCAGCTGCCCGTTGTAGTTCTACTTTCGTTTCTTTTTATTTCTATGTTTTTTTTTATGCTTGATTTTTTATTTTGCTTGTATTGCAAGTATAGTAAGTTATTTATTTATACATTCAGAGTTGAAGTAAAAAACAACAACGTTATTCTACCAGATCTATAATGTAAGACGCCTCCTAGTTCATGCAGTTAGTTGGGTCTAATTTAGCTAATAGTATGGCCAAAGTAAATAAATTATTTTCTTGGTAACATAAAATACATAACTGGAAGAGCATGGACTATGCCCAGGCTATGGATACATATATATATATATATATATATATATATATATATATATATATATATATATATATATATATATATATATATATATATATATATATATATGTATATATATATATATATATATATATATATATATATATAATAACTATAAATTATATAATATATATATATATATATATATATATATATATATAATACATATATAAATAAATAAATACATACATAAGCCTATATATTATGTTTGAGTATGTATGTTAAGTGTATTAAAAAGAAATGTTTATGTAAAGTCATGGCTGTATGCAATTCACATACGACTAGTGAATTACATCATGTATGTGTCATGTATGTCAAGTTTCAATGAATGTCAAGTTTCAATGAATGTCAGGTTTTTTGTCACGTACACACGTGTCTCTAATGTCATAACGCACCTGTGTCTAATGTCATGTCTAATGTCATAATGCACCTATGTCTAATGTCATGTCTAATTTCGCAACAAATTGTGCTCAATGTTCGAATCTGTGTACCATTTTTGTTGAAAGGGTGCGCGTTAGTGAAATAGTTGCACTCTACTTCATCTGCCAATTTTCGGTCAGATCCGTAGCGGGTAATTTATTGTTTAGTTCCAGTTTAAGACTTAACATTTTCTTGCAATAAATACATAATGCTACACCCTTACTCTTACATTATACATCTTTTACTAACTAAATATATATTTTAACATTTAAATAACACATACATATATAATTTATTGTATTATAATTGAACCTTTAAACATACTGTCACTTTACAGCTGATGTAGTTTTTTTCTATTCCACCCCCTCCCCAAACGTCATTGTATTACTAACACACCTATCAATTACTTTTGTTGGACACCCTTACACTTAAATGACTGATTCTCTCCAATGTCCCTCTTGTGATGAAGGCTTTGACGTGATTAGATACATATACTAAAAGTCCTAACTGTCCTTACTGCTCACAAAATAACAGCTCAACTTAATCTGATAAAACAGATTAAAACTGAGCTGATATCACGATAACCGAGGGCACGAACTAACCATGCTAGTTTTCATGTACACATTTTACTTACCCCCCCCCCTCCCCCACCCCCTACACACATCCCTGTGTTTACATGCATTGATGTGTAGAACAATGTGACACACTACCTTAACACCAGAGTTTTTCTATGTATTTTAACTCTAACACCTAGATTATGTATTTTAACATTTTAACACCTGACCTATATAATTTATTTTTAACACCTATATTATTTATTTTAACTCAAACACAAAGATTTTAGCACGTGTCCTATTTATTAACACCCGACTTATATATTTTAACTTCTGGTCTATATAGTTTAACACATGGAATAAATGTTTTAACTTTAACACCTGGCCTATATATTTTAACATCTGGTTTTTATAGTTTAACTTTAAAACCTGGCCTATATATTTTAACACCTGGCCTATGTATTTTAACACCTGGCCTATGTATTTTAACACCTGGCCTATGTATTTTAACACCTGGCCTATGTATTTTAACACCTGACCTATGTATTTTAACACCTGGCCTATGTATTTTAACACCTGGCCTATGTATTTTAACACCTGGCCTATGTATTTTAACACCTGGCCTATGTATTTTAACACCTGGCCTATATATTTTAACACCTGGCCTATGTATTTCAACACCTGGCCTATATATTTTAACACCTGACCTATGTATTTTAACACCTGGCCTATATATTTTAACACCTGGCCTATGTATTTCAACACCTGGCCTATATATTTTAACACCTGGCCTATGTATTTCAACACCTGGCCTATATATTTTAACACCTGGTCTATGTATTTTAACACCTGGCCTATATATTTTAACACCTGGCCTATGTATTTTAACACCTGGCCTATGTATTTTAACCCTCTTCTTCTCACCAGACGTCATATGACAAACATGTATGTGGTAAGAGTTACACAAATTTCTTGTCCTACCCTCTGGTTCAGTCGCTTTAAGTGTCACACCATTTCTTTGTCTGATGCCTCTGATGTGTTTCTTGTCTCATATGTCTGTTGTCTGATGTGTCTGTTGACTGATGTGTCTCCTCACCAGACGTCATATGACAAACATGTATGTGGTAAGAGTTACACGAATTTCTTGTCCTACCCTCTGGTTCAGTCGCTTTATGTGTCACACCATTTCTTAGTCTGCTATTACTGTAGCTTGTCTCTGTGTCTGTTCTCTGATGTTTCTCTTGTCTAACGTGTCTGTTGTGTCTATTTCTGATGTGTCTGTCGAATCTGTTGTCTGATGTGTAAGTTGTCTATGTTGTTTTATGTGTCTTTTGCTTAAAGTATCTGATGTTTTCATTTGTCACGGAGTTTCTACTGTCGTATCTTCTTTGTCACCAAATTTTAAACTAAACTTAAAACCATCCTACCATGTTCTGACTCTGCATCTGGTTATTAGAGAAAAAATAAATAATACAAAGCATTCTTTTTGTTCAGATGTGCTTTCATCTTCAGAAAAAGTATTTTGAAAAATCAGGATATCGTATTTAAAAATGAAAATGTTTGATTTGTAATTCGTTCATAAGTCCTATAGTGAATTTGATTATTTAATGAGAGATTTATAAGTTATTTAAATGATTTTTTAATTTTTAAGTGAGTTATTCAAGTGAGTTTAATGCTATAGATTTCACCCAAGCAGTCATTACATTTATAGACACATTTTCTAGCGACATTTAACCAAACATCTCTTCAATCTTTAAATATAAACCTAGCTTGTTTGAATGTTTTGATCAGAGAAATTATAAATCCAGCTAATTCTAATTAATTTTTTTCATGTATATTACGGCTAATTTTATGTTGCATAGTGTTACAAATAGGTCGCCATCCTGTCAATTGTTTTGTTTGGTGCACTCGGTGTAGAAGATTCTAGTTCTGCATGATTGTTAAGCACATCGTTGGATCAGTTGAGCATGCAACTTGGTCATTTATATGGGTCAGTTATCTGGGTCAGTTACCTGGGTCAGTTACCTGGGTTAGTTACCTGGGTCAGTTACCTGGGTCAGTTACCTGGGTTAGTTACCTGGGTCAGTTACCTGGGTTAGTTACCTGGGTCAGTTACCTGGGTTAGTTACCTGGATAGTTGACCACTCATTTAAAGCGTTTGTTAAGTAGAAGACTAATGGAGTAACTAAAATTAGAACAATTAGTAGTTTAAGTTTTGATATAAATATTAGCTTCAGTTTACTAAATTAAACAACCTTCATGCCACATCAGGGCAGATAAAGTAGAGTATACATGTTTATAGTTGTGTGTGATTATATGAGATTGTGTGGTCAGCATTTGGGTCAGTGCCAGACTGGACCCCCCCCCCTCCTAAAAAAAAGAATCTCGAGTTAGGTGCCTGGAGCTTTAAAGCTCTACCACCTGGCCATGCTGACTCGGTGTTAAACAAAAACTGAACCAAAGCATAGTCACCGCCTGCATGTTCCCTACAGTCTGCCCCAATCATTGCTTGTGTCACTCACGTTTTGCATTATAGCACACCTCTTCATCAATCTTAACCGAAAGTTGTGTTTAAAAAATTAAAATTGCAGTCTTCAATTTTCAACTCCTTAAAAACACTTGCTAAACTTTTCAGCTGTACATAATTTTTAAAAATCTCGTTAAAATTATTAACAATTTAAATTTTTAAATTTAAAGTAGACACTGGACAACGGAACATCAAATTTATTGCCCCCAGCCTTCATTATAAAAAATATAATCATCATACTCCAGCAAGCCCCTAGGTGCTGTAGGTTCTCCACTTATAAGCTGAATTAAAATGATCAAGATAATGGTCCTCTCTTGTAAACGTAGAATCTGACATTGAGAGTGTTAAAAAAAATGAAGATGATACTGGCGTGATATGACACAGTCGAACCACTGACACTACACTGACTTCACATGACACTGTCACACTAATGACAACATACTGATACTAAATTGACATAAAATTGGCATGTCACCAACATGAAACTGACACTGACATGACACAGCCATTGTCGTGGCACTGACACATGGTACTGATACCGAGAGACATGATACTGACACTGTCATGAGATGACCCACGGTGACACAAACACTACACTTATATGACACTGCCTGACATGACACTGTCAGACATGACACCCACATGACACTATCTGACATGACACAGATATGCCATTGTCTGACCTGACACTGTCTGATATGACACAGACATGACACTGTCTGACATGACACACATGACACTGTCTAATACGACACACACATGACACTGTCATGACACTGTCTGACACGACACAGACCTGACACTGACACATCACCACCTAACCCCCTCTGCACGCAGCCCTAGAGCACTATACTAACAACCTCCCTGCTTGTAGCATTTGCTGTTCTAAAAATATTCCCAGCTCGTTAGCCACCTTTTAGCAGTAGGAAATATTTCCTACACAACAACAACTATTGCCGACATTCAAATCTATACTTGCTATATAGAATCACACCAAGGCTTTGTTAAACAATTTTAAGTTATCAAAAAAATTAATAATTTATCATGGGTATTTGATTACATAAAATTTAATGTTTTGTTGTTTTGATGTTCAATGTTGATAATTAAAAAATTGATTTATGTAGTCAATGTGAATACATCAATTTTGTATAAATATTTAAATGAACATGTAACGGAGACTTATACATTTTGAAAAAAAAAGTTTTTTTGAGTAGAAATGATGTTTTGAGATTTGAATCTGTATCAAGCCATTTGATTGGTTGTTTAGACCGGAACCTGGCGCAGCGAGCCAAAAGACATCAAACATCGCGTGGAGCCGTCAAAGTCTTTCAGTGCCGTCTTTCAGATGTCAGAGAATGTGTTTGGTGACGATCCGTTGAGGATCTCCTTCATAGTGGTAAGTGATGTTGCTAGATCACCTTCATAGTGGTAAGTGATGTTGTTAGATCATCTTCATAAGGGTGAGTTGTGGTGTTAGATCACCTTTATAGTGGTGAGTGATGTTGTTAGATCACCTCCATAGTGGGGAGTTTTTCTCTCCCCTGTTGTTGTTTCTAAATAACCCTCCCCTGTTGTTAGTATACAATTCTCTCCCCTGCTGTAGGTTGTAACATTTATCTCCCCTGTTTCTAGCAAACATTTCTCTCCCCTTGTCATTGTTGGTAAACATTTCTCTGTTATTGTTTACTGGTGTGTTGGCATCACGTGGCAAAGAGTTTTGTTACCTAGGTAAACAGACAGAAAGTGTGAGTACAGTGTGTTGCCTTCATGTCACGGAGTCCATATCGTGCAGTTATGTATAGATTAACGCAGCTCACATTGACTTAAGTCAAGCAGAACTCCTCGCTCTAGAAACACCCTTCCCCTAATAACCTTCCTCCAGTGAAACCTCTCCTCCCCATGACATCCCTTCACCCCTAACGCCCCTTCCCCCAAATAAATCTTTCTCTGCAGTACCACTCTCCTTCCTCCAGTAACACCCCTTTTCCCTGACGCTCCTCCGCCCATTAACTGCCTCCTGGAACACCTCTCAACCCTCTAACTCCCCTCCTTTCAGGTAACTACCATCTCCCTCCCAGTAACGCCTTACTCCAAAAGTAACCCATCCTCACCTCAGTAACTCCCTCACTCCCTCTGCCCGATACCACCCTATTCCCCATTAACCCCCTCACCTCCCCAGTAACTCCCCACCCCCTCCAGACACACTAATTCCCCCCACCCTGTATATCAGACCCCCTCACCCCCAACATTTTGTTACCCAGGAGACCCCGTTCATCGGCAACCGTAGCAACAAGAGCTTGGACAACGGTCACCCTCTGTACGAAGGTCTTCTGATTGACATCCTGTTGGAGATGGTCAACATCCTGGGCTTCAAGTACACCATCAAACACGTAAGGTCATTTACAGTGAAGTAGGTCATCACACTTGTTAGGTCATTTACGGTGTAGTAGGTCATCACACATGTAAGGTCGTTTACAATGTAGTAGGTCATTACACATGTAAAGTCGTTTACAGCGTAGTTGGTCTTCACACATGTAAGGTCGTTTACTGTATAGTAGGTCATCACACATGTTAGGTCATTTATAATGTAGTAGGTGATTAAACACGTAAGGTCATTTACAGTGTAGTAGATCATAAAACACGTAAGGTCATTTACAGTGGAAACATTGGGGTTGAATACTACATTTTAGGATGCTTCCTAAAATAAATGTTGGGTATATTATAGCAAAATCTTTGTTAGATACCTTGCAGTTTACTAAAATGTATACCTAGCACGTAAAAAAATGTTGGATAGGTCCCAGACAACATAAATGTTAAATAGTTCCCAGGTAAAAAAAATGTTGTATACCTAGCATATACAATGAATGTTGGATAGGTCCCAGGTAACATAAATGTTGTATACCTAGCCCATACAACAAATGTTGTATTTCTCGCAGGTGGGAGACAACAAATATGGCAGCTACAAGAACGCCACTGGATGGACGGGCATGATACGTGAGCTCATTGATAATGTGAGTAGTACATCTAATGTGGGCGTGGGTGGGTGTGGGTACGTGTGTGTTTCGTGAGTTAATTGATAACGTGAGTAGTACATCTATTCTATTGTGGGCGTGGGTGGGTGAGTGTACGTGTGTGTTTAAGTGTGCGTATTTGGTTGTTTTTTGTTCTGTGCTTTGTGTTGTGTGTGTGTGTGTGTGTGTGAAATAATGTATGTGTTTGTGTTTGTGGTTGTGTTAGTGTATGTTTTTATGTGAGTGTGTGTCTTTCCTTGAGTGTGCTTGTGTTTGATTAACACTGATCCATCGTAGCTCTCCAAAAGCCTTAATTACATGAACAAACAGTTCAGTACTGCAATAGGGTCCAGTCTAAAACACACAACTAACACAACTCTAACGTTAAAGACAATGTTTTCTTCCCGGGCAGAAAGCGGACATTGCCCTGGCACCGTGGCAGATGACGACAGAGAGGGCAGAGGTCGTGGACTTCACCAAACCTTTCATGACCAAAGGCACCACCGTGGTGGTCAAGAGGCCGGAGCAGAGGGTCGGGAAATATCAGTTCCTGTTGCCCTTGTCTACCGTGAGTAGACGGCTTGATACATGTGACATTAGACTCACGACACGGCGACACTTGACATGTGACATTTAGACACACGAAATGTGGACATTTGACATGTGACATTAGACACACGACACGGCGACACTTGACATGTGACATTTAGACACACGAAATGTGGACATTTGACATGTGACATTAGACACACGACACGGCGACACTTGACATGTGACATTTAGACACACGAAATGTGGACATTTGACATGTGACATTAGACACACGACACGGCGACACTTGACATGTGACATTTAGACACACGAAATGTGGACATTTGACATGTGACATTAGACACACGACACGGCGACACTTGACATGTGACATTTAGACACACGAAATGTGGACATTTGACATGTGACATTAGACACACGACACGGCGACACTTGACATGTGACATTTAGACACACGAAATGTGGACATTTGACATGTGACATTAGACACACGACACGGCGACACTTGACATGTGACATTTAGACACACGAAATGTGGACATTTGACATGTGACATTAGACACACGACACGGCGACACTTGACATGTGACATTTAGACACACGAAATGTGGACATTTGACATGTGACATTGGACATACGAAATGTCGACACTTGACATGTGACATTGGACAGACGAAATGTCGACACTTGACATGTGACATTAGACTCACGAAATGTCGACACTTGACATGTGACATTGGACAGACGAAATGTCGACACTTGACATGTGACATTAGACTCACGAAATGTCGACACTTGACATGTGACATTGGACAGACGAAATGTCGACACTTGACATGTGACATTAGACACACGAAACGTCGACACTTGACATGTGACATTTAGACACACGAAACGTCGACACTTGACATGTGACATTAGACTCACGAAACGTCGACACTTGACATGTGACATTAGACTCACGAAATGTTGACACTTGACATGTGACATTAGACTCACGAAACGTCGACACTTGACATGTGACATTAGACACACGAAATGTCGACACTTGACATATAACATCAGACACACGAAATGTCGACACTTGAAATGCAAAATGTGACATTCTAATTCAAAGATGTGACATTCGACACACGAAATGTAAATTAGACAAGCGAAATTTGACATTCGACATATAAAAAGGACATACGACATATGAAATGTGCCATTAAAATAACACAAATTGACATTTGTAGAGTATCCTTCAAGACCAGATAGTGCATGTTTCCTTATACGGGTATAACGTGGTCAGCACTATGCCTAGACGACCTTGCTTTTCCTCACAGGTCAGGTACACATTAAAACTGAGTGGGCTCAAGGACATGTGAACTAAATTAAAAATTTTCCCGACACGCTACACCATGTTACCCCCACTACATTTGAAGCTACGAAATGTGACATTTGACATAACCAAATGTCAAACCAATGTGACAATAGACAAAGATTTGCAGACACATAAAGCCGCATAACTGTGAGAGCTCACATAACTTGTGTATAGCGAGCGCAATCTATAGCAACCTAACTTATACATCTAAAATAGTCATTCATCTCTGCAATGAACCCCCCCCCCCCGCTCCAAAAAAAACCCAACAACAACAAAAACAAAAACAAAAAAAATCAACAAAACAACAACAATACAACAATAATAACCAGTTTCTCTTCAGCTCCTGTATGAAACTTTACATTTCATCTTCATTCACATCGTAACTTTTAATTTTTACGAAATACCCTGTCCGCTTACAACAAAATGTTTTGTGTTTTAAAAAAAATCCTTTTAACTTCACAATTTTTTACCCATCATGTATTTTTTATGTTCGTTAAATGATCTCTTGTCCATTCGATCCCCCCCCCCCCCCCTTTCCAGATAGTCTGGTCGGCCATCTTTGTGGCGTTCGTCGGGACAAGTCTGATGTTGTTTGCAGTCAGCAGGGTCAACTCCGACCGTCAGGCCAAGTACACCCACAACCTGCGGGAGAGCTTCTGGTACATCTGGGGCACGCTGCTCAGGGGGTCCTTGAGTGGGAGGTGAGTACCACGTGACAACCTGCGGGAGAGCTTCTGGTACATCTGGGGCACGCTGCTCAGGGGGTCCTTGAGTGGGAGGTGAGTATCACGTGATCAAGTACACCCACAACCTGCGGGAGAGTTTCTGGTACATTTGGGGCACGCTGCTCAGGGGGTCCTTGAGTGGGAGGTGAGTACCACGTGACAACCTGCGGGAGAGCTTCTGGTACATCTGGGGCACGCTGCTCAGGGGGTCCTTGAGTGGGAGGTGAGTACCACGTGACCAAGTACACCCACAACCTGCGGGAGAGCTTCTGGTACATCTGGGGCACGCTGCTCAGGGGGTCCTTGAGTGGGAGGTGAGTACCACGTGACTTGTACCACGTGACAACCTACGGGAGAGCTTCTGGTACATCTGGGGCACGCTGCTCAGGGGGTCCTTGAGTGGGAGGTGAGTACCACGTGACCAAGTACACCCACAACCTACGGGAGAGCTTCTGGTATATCTGGGGCACGCTGCTCAGGGGGTCCTTGAGTGGGAGGTGAGTACCACGTGACCAAGTACACCCACAACCTGCGGGAGAGCTTCTGGTATATCTGGGGCACGCTGCTCAGGGGGTCCTTGAGTGGGAGGTGAGTACCACGTGACAACCTACGGGAGAGCTTTTGGTATATCTGGGGCACGCTGCTCAGGGGGTACTTGAGTGGGAGGTGAGTACCACGTGACCTTGGAAACCGTCATGTCACGTGGGTAGGGGTAGAGTTTAATTTTTTTGGCACTATTGGATAATACCACTATTTTGGCCGTACACTTTACAATGTGGGATAATACCACTATTTGGGCCGAATTGTATAATGACTCAGGACAAAGCGAGGACAAAAGCCAAAAACTCGGTCAATTGATGAGAGATTTCCGGGGAGACGGAACAAATATTCGGGGATATGTAGAGCGGTGCTCAGTGTACTCGTACAGTAGACGCCACAAACCATTGTAACAACTGACTAGTTTGTGTTGCTGTGGTTTAGTGGGTATGATGTTGTAGGATACTGTTTTAGTGAGGTAATACTCACGTCTATGTTAGTTTATTTAGTCAACAGATACCTATACTTTAGCAGTATCTTATTTATCACCATTGCTTAAAAGTTGATCCAGTCGTCAGAGAATGGTGTAGTACACCCCTAGTGCTGAGTAAACAAAAAAATGTTTTTGCTTTAAAATAACTAAACGGCGCCGTTTCGTATTTTGATGAAATGTTGGGTATTCGGATTTAAAATAAAGATCAATACATTATTAAAGCTTTGTTTTAGATTTAAATAAAAAATAATTAAAAATGTATGACGAAAAATAAAATAAAATAAATTGGCTCAGAGAAAGTGTTAGTTAAATTACCAGCAGACGACTACTTGGGGTCACAGTGACAAGGCCTTTGCTACCTCCCTGGATGGGGTATGTAGCCTTGACCTTCACGTACTGTTTATCCAGGTCTAAACAAGAAATTGTATAAAAATTAGGCCGCCTTCCAAACCCTTCCACAGGGGTCAAAGGTCGGGAATGGATTCACCTCAAGGTCGTAACTCCTCCCGTGTAATTAGCGATTCGACGGCTACTGTTTTCGTGGGACTAGTGTGGGGGAATAGTGGAGGGAGGGGCGTTTGGAAAGGAAATGTAATTAAGGGGGAGGGGTACTAAAGGAGCCAATGGTCTCCTTCATTTTTTTTCGTACACTGAAACTTTTCAAATAATATTCTTTGGAACAATATATTGTCTACCAAATGAATGCCATTGTCACCCTTCCTCCACTTGATGCCCATGTGTCCATCACCCAGACCCGATTAACCTTCACGCTCCGGTGATTTTGTTCCAGCCCCCACGCCATCTCGTCACGCATCATCTCCTCCGCCTGGTGGTTCTTCTGCCTCATCCTCTCCTCCATCTACACGGCCAACCTGGCAGCTTTCCTCACCATCACCATCGGTGACGTCGGCATCAACTCGGCCGCGGACTTGGCCTCTCAGGTTCGTTGAAAAACATCCACCTACACAATTTAAATCATTTTAAAAATTTAAAACTTAACTGCACAATTTATATTTAAAATACTTTTTAAAGTACACCTGCATAATTTAAATAATTTAAAAAAATTAAAATTTAACTGCACAATTTATATTTAAAATGCTTTTTAACATACACCTACACAATTTAAATAATTTAAAAAAATTAAAATTTAACTGCACAATTTATATTTAAAATACTTTTTAACATACACCCGCATAATTAAAATCTTAAATATTTTAAAAATTAAAATAACTTGTGAAATTAAAATCAAGAAAATTTTTTTTACATTCAACTGCAAAATGAATTTTTCCAAAACCTTGCAATGACAATGCAAGTTGCTTGAAATTTATGTAGCCTACATACTGAGAACTTACTGAATTCACTCGCACGTCTGTATGGGGTGGGAGTCTTTTTTAGGGGTTTTCTATAGACCACAGACATGGACGTATATTATGTTAGTTCTTTCACAAGGATGTCCTTTCACAGTTTGGCTTAAAGACGACAATCTTTGACTGAGAAGTCATATAGACATAAATCCTTGACAGAAATGTCCTATAGACTAAGTCTTTGACATAGTCGTCTTATAGAAAAAATAATCATTGGCAGTAATTTCCTAGCAGTAAATTTTTGACATAGACATTCACAGAACGCTTTCATAGATCTATTTAACCAAATGTCTGTTTAACAATTAGACGAACGTCAAATTTATAGCGTTAAAACTTTTCAGTAATCTAGTTTAGGACACTAAATCTTGTAACTTTCTGCCCGCTCCACAGACGGAGTACGTGTACGGCACCGTGGAGGGCTCTCAAACGGCCAAGTTCTTCCAGTACACCAGCATGCGGCACTACGCCGCCATGTGGGCCCACATGTCCACCCTCACGCCCAACTCCATGAGCCGGACCACGCAGATTGGCATTGAGTGAGTCATCGGTTACTTTTTATTGAACACTGTTTACACGTGAGCTGGTGATACCGTAGTGTAAACACCAGAGGCGTAGCGACCCCTCCTGGCGCCCGGGGACAAACTTTCAATATGGCGCCCCCTGTTAATTTTTTATATTTATAATTCAAAACTGCAGCTAAAATGAGCTTTTAATTTTTTTCAAAGTTATTTTGGTGCCCCTAGGATTGGCGCCCGGGAACATATGTATCCCCCCCCCCCGTCGCTACGCTTCTGGTAAACACAATACTGCTGAAATACGAACAAGTAATCCATTATCAAGATTATAATAAGCGAGTGAATACAAGCATGTTAATCGATTATCCCAAGTAATATTGTTAGTAACGAGTGAATACGAACAAGTAAACTAATATCCCTACCAATATTATAAGTAAAGAGTGAATACGAACAAGTAATCTATTATCCACAGAAAGATTATAAGTAACGAGTGAATAGAAACAAGATTTGTTGGAAAAAACAACACAACACATAGAAACATGAGGAAAATAAACATCAAAACACATTTCCAACGATACTGACTGTTATTCTCTTAAAATTGAATTTCTAAAATCACTGAAAGCAAAACCAGGAAAAAAACCATGAGAAAAAATATTTTCACCTCAGAAGTTCTTTTGATCTTCTGGAAAACTCAACTGCGATCATCATCACACTTTTGAATTTTTTTTTACTTCATCAGGAAGAAATATCTAGTAGGTTTAGGGGGAGGGGGTGGAAGGGAAATGGAGGTAAAGTAGATTTCATAAGTTTATTTTAGCGTTAGCATATGATGAGGTTTTGTCCAGCCGACTCTACTTTCATTGTCTCTAGTCAGCTACCCACCAAAGTTGTGGAGTCAATGACTCTTTATACTGGGAGTCAAGCTCGACTTTTGCTCGACTCGAGGTGTTGTTTTAAAGCATAAACTATGGAGGGAAACATTCTAGTGTGGAATTTCAGAGTCAACGGTTCCCTATCATACAAGTAGAGGTTAAAACAGCCATCTACACTAAGAATATAATAAACCGCATTCTATTATGAATAAACGTATTAATCGTGATTAGTAAAAAAAACCGATTTGATCCCATGGATACCTTTTAAAAATATGTTAGATAAGCCGCCAAACACCTTTTGATAATGATTAAAGTTCCCTTTTCAAACCTGACGGTCTATATGGCAAGTGAAGTAAAGTTCACTTGTTTCTGTGACCTCGGCATAAGAAGGGATAGTGTGGTTAGCACTATGCCCAGCCGCCTTAACTCCCTAACGTGAGTTAGGTACCCATCAGAGCTGGGTGGACTCAGGGACGGTCTAGGTCTACCGACTTGAAACCCGATTCGAACTCGAGACTTACGGGTTAGCAGTCCAGCTCTCTACCGCTAGACCACTCCGTCCCACGCTAATTATTAACTCATTATATATGTTTTTCCTTTATTTTCCCAGGCGCGTTAAAAAGGGTAAATACGCCTTCATCTGGGACTCGCCTTACATCCGTAATGTGATCAGTAACGAGTGTGATTTGATGGAGATTGGCTCGCCCTTTGACCTCAAAGGTTACGGTTTGGCCTACAGAAAGAACGCGCCCTTTGGTGAGAAGCTGTCCATGGCCATTCTCAAGATGCAGGACGACGGGCTGCTGTACAAAATGGAGCGGAAGTAAGTTGTGTGTTTCTGTCGGTTTGTGCATGTGTCGGTTGGTTTGTGTGTCAGTTTATTTGGTTGTCGTTTTGTTTGTGTATCGGTTTGTGCGTGTGTGTTTCGGGTTGTTTGTGTGTCGGTTTGTGAGTGTGTGTCGGTTTATTTTGTTGTCGTTTTGTTTGTGTATCGGTTTGTGCGTCGGGTTGTTTGTGTGTCGGTTTGTTTGTCTGTCGGTTTGAAGTGTGTGTCGGTTTGTGTATGTGTGTAAGTTTGTGTGTGTCGGTTTGTGTGTGTGTCGGTTTGTGTGTGTGTGTCGGTTTGTGTTTGTGTTTTCTGTTGTTTATTTTTCATTTTTACTTGTTATGTGTTTATCTGTTGCTTATTCGTATAGTTATATACGCTAAGTTTCATTATATTGATTTGTTATAATCTGCTTTATTGTGTATTCATGTTTAGTGTGTTGAATATTGCGTGAAATTTTTGTTCTACTTCTATCCACTTTTCCCCGATATTTGTGTATGTTTACCTTCCAAATTACATTATTATTTCAGAAAGCAAAAACACAAAACTAATTTACTTCAACACCTTTTAAAAATATTTTTGCCAACCTTCCCGCTGCGTAGACCTGAACGGCAAACATCTCATTAAAAATTTTAATTAACGAGCCATTAAAGAAGACAGATGTAGCAATTAACATTGTTTTAACGATCTTCTATTTTTTAATATTTACAAACATTGTGAAATAAATAAAAACAACAACAACCTTATTTCAATATCCAGATGGAATTTTCCAACTTTTACGAAACCTAATACTTTCAATTTTGTTTTTGCTATTTTGTGTCTGCTATGATAATCAATAATCCATAGAATGCGACCTACCATGATAATTAATTAGATATTTATCAAAACACTTTACTCAACTTCTTCATATTATTAATAAATGACCCACTGATAATTCGTATAATTCATAATTGGCCAACTGATGATGATTCTAATGAAATTCTTTTTCTTTTTGTCTAACTCTATGAGAAAACTTTTTGTTTTTGTCTAACTCTATGAGAAAACTTTTTGTATTTGTCTAACACTATGACAAAACTTTGTATATACAAACCAAGTTAATGACCTATAAGCCGGAGCATATCACGTGGCCTCTAACTATAGTTGACCTTTGACCTGACCTAATTACGTAAACTTACATTAAAAAATAAATAGAAAGAACTTTGACATGAATTTTTTAAATTGATGGGAAATTTAATAAGGTGACAGAAATTTGCCATGGATTTCGAAAAAAAAAACCGCGTTAATTAATTAATACAGCTTATTACAGAAGTAATTATTTTTTAAAGCAGCTGCTAGTTTTTGATGAGGGATTAATTAAGCAAAGACGAGCCAGGTTGTTACGATATTACTGCACACTGTGACCCGTGGGTTCGGACTAATGAATCCGCCTAAGACGAGTCAAGTTGTTACGATATTACTGTATACTGTGAACCAGAGGCGTAGCGATGGGGGGGGGGGGGTACATATGTCCCCGGGCGCCGACCTTAGGGGGCGCCAAAACGGGTTGGAAAAACAAATAAAAATCTCATTTTAGTTGCAGTTTTGCATTATAAATATAAAAAAATATATGGGGGGGGGGTGTGTGTGTGCAAATTGAGAGCTTGAGGGGGGGGGGGGAGCGCCAAATTGAAAGTTTGTAGTTTGTCCCCGGGCGCCGGGAAGGGTCGCTACGCCTCTGCTGTGACCCGTGGGTTCGAATCTGCCAGCGAAGTTTTGATTCTCTGTCGCGGATTCTTAACATTTGACCACGTACACTTTATAAAATATGTAAATCTATTTTGCTACTTCTATAAAAAATATTCTGAAAGGATTTTTTAAAAAATTAGCGTCAAACAACGAAATGTGACCGTTTGTTCCATCGACTTTATTAAAAACTGAAGTGAGTAAAAAAAAGTTACAATGGGCGCCGACTGGTCTCGCCACAGCTGGGGCGCCGATTGAACGGTTACATTGACCTAGCGTCTAAGGTCATGTTAACCTGCTGTCACCCACACTTCACATGTCTTACACGTGCACACAGCCCCCCCCCCCAGCATCTTGTTACACCTGAGATTTAAATTGACATCCTCTGTTCCAAATACTTTCCAGCAAGCTTTAAAAAACCAATGCGTCAACTTTTAAACTTCGTTTGTCATAAAATGTAACACGTTTTTTTTTGTTCAAGTGAATTTTTTATCAGGCTAGACAGAAAACGTTATCTGACGGCATGTGCTTCGTGTTGTTTACAAAACTAATGTTTTAAAGTTCCTTCATAGCTTTCTAAGGGTGAGGCTAAATATAGCATTTCGCGAGACGTTTCACACAAACGTGATTGCTCGTTAAACAGGTTATCACATTGGCTACACGTGTTGCAAATTATCTTTTTCTTAATTAAATCAGAGCCTAATGAACTGACGTAAATATTTCGTTACATTTCACTCTACCTTAATTAAATTATAAATGAACACCCGAACATTTTTCTTTAATTTTATTATAATTTACAACTGCAGTTTACTTAATATAAACGCCATTTTAAATCGATTTTTAATAATCTTTAGTATGCTCAACAAACAAATCAATCAATGTCCCAACAGTTTATATCGTGTAGTAGCCCAGGTGGGTTAAAATACCGGATTTTGTAATGTAGCTGTTGGTTTTTACAAAATGTATATTTTCTACCAGTTTGGTGACTTAAAATATTACATATCAGAATCTAGCGGCTAGTTTTTATAAAATATACATTTTCTTACATGTTTGATGATTTAAATATCAGAAGATCTCGAAATGTGGCCATTAGTTTTTACACAATGTGCATTTTCTACATGCAGGGGCGTAGCGGGGGGGGGGGTGCGGACCGCACCGGGTGACACCATTTAGGGGGGTGACACCAAGGCAAAAAATAGCAAAATATATGGAGAAAAAGTTGAGGGGGGGGGGGTGCAAATCGAAAGTTTGAGGGGGGGGGGGGTGCTAATCGAAAATTTGAAAGTTTGTCCCCGGGAAGGGTCGCTACGCCTCTGGGGGGGGGGGGGGGGGTGACACCATTAAGTGCCGCACCGGGTGACATCCGACCTCGCTACACCACTGTCTACATGTTCGGTGACTTAGAATATCGTATGGTCACGGAATGTAACATCTAGTTTTTACAAAGTGTATATTTTTGTACTAGTATGGTGACTTAAATTATCAGAAGAGCTCTGATTGGTGCCATTATTTTTTTTACACAATGTGCATTTTCTACATGTTTGGTGACTTAGAATATAGTATGATCACGGAATGTAACATCTAGTTTTACAAAATGTATATTTTTTGTACTAGTATGGTGACTTAAATTATCAAAAGAGCTCTGAATGGTGCCATTATTTTTTACACAATGTGCATTTTCTACATGTTTGGTGACAGCATATCGTATGATCACGGAATGTTAATTTTAGTTTTTACAACATGTGCATCTCCCGCCGAACATCCTTTGAAAAGTGAGTCGGAACTTGGTGTTGACCGAGTAAAAGATGAACGCGTTCAGGGACGAGTTCAGGTAGGCGCAGACGGCACTCATGGAGGTGACGATCCTAAACAGGTTGCCGTACACCTGCCCGTCGTCGAACTCAGGCACCAGACGCCGGAAGAGTGAGTACACCATGAACGGAAGTGCCAGTACCAAGAACAGCGCGGAGAGTAAAGCCACGGATTTGATGATCTGCATGTCTTTGACGGATTCCCTGGTGTACGGCTTCCGGTTCTGGTCGTTTTTGTTTGGTCCGGTTTTGTGAGACGGCGATTGACCGGGCTTGAAATTGCGGTTGTAGTGTAAGGTAGAAACATCGGGTTGAATGAGAGTGGGTTCGAATCCCGGTCGTGATGTGTCGGTAGTTTTGTCCCTTCCGTTATTCCGGCCGACCGCGGCGTGTAGTCGGAAATTCGAAGATTGTTTTAAGCTAACAGAGAGCAGAATAAACGACACGAAGATAACGGCCATCGTTATCCACGATAAAATATTCCGGTTAAAAATGTCGTAGAACGCAATGGCCACCGGCCAGTTGACCGTCATCAGCACAACAATGCGGGTCGTGTTGCTGGGTGGGGTTCGAACCTCGGCCAGGTACTGGTTGATCAGGACCGGCACGTGAAACACCAGTGACAGCACGAAGATGCAGACGAACGCAGCAACGGTTCTGCCGCGGGTGAAGACGGACCGGAACCGGAATGGAATGGTCACGCAGCAGCACCGCACGACAGCGATGTAGGCCGTGGCTAGCAGGGATGAGTAGTAGAAGACGTTAGCGCACCAGTAGGAGAAGGAGTTGACGTTGATGGGGTCGAACCCCCAGGTCACGGTCTTGTAGGAGATGGTGAGGTTGAGGATGATGCAGATCCCGCTGACGGAGGAGATGGTGAGGTAGCCGAGGTCGAAGAGGCAGAGCAGGAAGAATGAGATGCTGACGCTGTCCGGCAGGCCCATCTTGTAGAAGACTCTAGCACTGACGGCACTGGCCGCCACCCCGCTGGTCAAGATGACCGGTCGGACGTAGATGAAGCAGACCGTTTCGAAGATTTTTAGAGTTGCACTGCTGACCACCTGGCTCATGACTCGAATTTTCGGCCCGTTATGAAAGTTGGTGCGCTGAATTTCGTGGTTATCTATGAAAGTTGGTACGCTAATTTTATTGATTGCTATTAAAGTCAGTATGCTTAATTTCTTGGTTAGCTGTTATAGTCGGTATGTTGAATTTCTTTGATTGCTATTATAGACGGTCCTACGATATCATGGGTTCAATATGAGATTCTTTGAGCGAAGTTCTTAATTCACTACAATATTCGGTGCACTGAATTCTAGGTTTGCTATTGAAAAGTTGGGAAAAATGAGCGCCTGATTCGATGGATTGAGTTCTTGGTTCAATTTTTCTGTCATAAACTGTTCCTAGAACTGTATGTTTAATTAACGTGTTAAACATCGATTTATAAAACTGCAATCCTTCCTT